CAGACTTTGCTTTTTGAGTGCATTTGAAAAATAAACATGTTGCCAGGTTCATGCCATTGGTCACTTCATTGTTGTTTATTCAGCTTCATACTCTAGTACATTTGTTTATGATTTGAAATTCAGGCTGCCTTTGCAGTGAATGTGCCATCTTCAAAAATGCTCTGCAAGTACAGTCTTTCTCATGGAGGAATTGGTTTCCTCCTTCCTTCCTCATTCCACCAGGTAGGAACTGAAATTCATGTTTTTTTTAAAATTATAATTAGCCAAAAAAAAAAAAAAAAAGGAAAATGCATTAAATATTGAGATGGAAGTCTGTTTGATGATTTGCAAAATTAAATGTACGCATAGACAACATGGATTTTGAAAAGGTTTATTTCAGACACATTCTTAAAATAATCCTTCAATAGACTGCAGTTACTGCAATGCTCTGTCCAGAGTGTCACAGCTTGAAAAGGTTTGATAGAAAAGTAGAGTGTCTTGTTATGCTAAAATGTGTGAGTTAAGACTTTTCTGTAATTTCCAGATTTTTACAGCACAATAGACAGATAGGATTGCACTATTCCCCCAAGGTAAAGCCGCCCAAAAATATTTTAGGGTTGTTTTGCTAAAGGACAGAATTGGCAAGTAATTCCATTTTTGTTTCTTTTGGCATAGCCAGCTCCAAAAATAAATTGTCAGGACTTCCAATATGCAATATTTTGTGTTTAAATAAACCATTCTCCATTCTATGCATACTCCAAGAAGTAAACTGAAGATTCTGCATTAACAGAATGAATGAATATCATTTTGCTTTAATGATCTGAGATTTAGCCAGACTACTAAATTACATAAGAATTAACAGTAGTTTTTTTTAAAAATTTATTAATAATTTAGTTAGCATGGAAAATCTTAATGTAGAATCATTTCTGTTTCGGCTTTATTGTATGTAATCAAGTCTTCTGAATTTTTGAATTCTTCAGTAACAAGCATGAAAAGCGCACAATAGTTTAGAATTGCCTGAGCTCCCACATTTTGTGCTACACCATAATGCATGAACTCACCCAGACTGCACTCCATACCTAAATAATAATCATAAGTTAGCCATGCTTAACAGCACTTTGTCTTGTTTTATTAAATCTTTTCTTGAACGTGTGTTTAGAATTTTAGTACTATTGCTTCACAAGTCTGTCAAGTATATATTGTGCAGTTTTGCTGTCAACATCAGAAGGGACGGAGGGAGATAGAGAGATGCAAGTTGTAAGTTGACTGTTTTATATAGAACCTCTAATGATACATGTTGTGTCATATGCTGTTGCTTGCTAACTTGCCTAGTGAAAAAAAAAAAGGCTGGACTATTACACATGCCCATTTTTTCACCAGTTACTAAATATGTGTATTGAGTCTCTGCCAGTCATACAGAATAATTTGGGAAGTCAGAATATGATTTAGTATTCTTTTTAATCTTAATTGGGAAGGCAAGAATGTTACTGTTGATGGTATTTTGTTAAGATGCTGGAAAATTTTATACATTTATCAGTTACTTTCCCTTGTAACATTTTATTATTGCATTTAATTTGAAGTGTATTATTATCAGGCAGCCCAGACCAAGAGTACAATTTCACAGAAAGGCCAAAGCTATTTTTGTTGAATGTTGGGGATAGCAGAATCTTGCAAGTGTGGTTGTACTTAATAAATTATTACTTAACAAATCAGACAGTGTTGGAGTTTCTTTTGAATGTGTTTTTTTTTGTTCTGGAATGTTTCAGTTCCTTTGCCTAGAGACACAATTTCCAGTTTTCTTTACTTTCTTATCTATCCATCTATCTATAAAAGTCTTTTGAGTCAACCAACTCAATTCTTGAAGACTTCTGGGGCACATTACGATAGCTGTAATATTGAAGAACAGGACTTCTATATCTTACCATCCTTTGAGATGTTTTCTGCCATCTGGTTTAAGGCCTCCAGACTGTTTCCAGGTCAAGATCAGCTGAAGCTGCCACCCGATTGTGTATGCCTCTAACTTGCAAAGGAAATCAAGACAAGACATTCTTTCAATTTATATAACCACTCATCTCACATAACGTGACTCTGGGCGGCTCATACAAATTATATTACTTGCAATTATTTCTACAGTACCAAAATTTTTAATCCACCAAAGCTATGGTTTGTTTCTTATGGGGACAGAATGAACAGATCAAAGCTGTTAAAAAGTTATCTATGAGCTGGAATGAAGTTTCATTTACATTCCATCCTGAAACACCGATTTAAAAAGTCCTCTCAAAATTTTAAAATACGGTATATTAGAAGCTCTAAAAAAATTTAGAGTAGAAAATTGATCTTTGAAAATTTGTACATTTATCAATAGCATTGTGAATTTATTTTAGATTGCCTGATTATGTCACTCTTGACCAATTCTAATTTAAAGGATAAAAAAACTAAAGTAATTTTGATCGTTTAGGTCAGTCTCCCTATATTTTCTAGGTGACCTGTTGGGCAGTCATCAATATTCCTAGATAGTAAAGATTGGCATTGGGGGTTGGGGATAATAGGGTTGTCATCTAATACATTTGAAAAGCATTTGTTTACTTGGTTTCTGTGAGCTATAGAGGTTTATTCTTCACATTTTTCACTTTCTAAAGCCAATTTGACATGCAGTCAACCTGATAAGGAAATGTTTTAAAAGTGCATTTGGGATTCCTGTATAATTTTATGCAGTGTGATAAAACACAATTATTTTATGGTTACCATTATGCGATTATATCTCTATATACATTATAGGGACATCTTATGTGAAAACAGTTCTTGGGAGAAAGCTTGAAAGGTGAAGCAAAGTTACAGTAGTGATAAGTGCACTGTTAGAAGAGTTGAAGCACCAGGTTATGACAGATCATCATGGAGAAAAATATGGATGCACTAAGAGTTGACAAGGACTTGATGGCATGAAATCCGCATCAATCATACAGTTGCAACCTTAATATCATAGCTTGAAATTCTGTAATCTTAACTCAGCCAATATGTCGATAGCCACTTGATGGATGTGTCCTAGCACTGATCACCTTTTTTACTTTTTGCCTCAATCACAACACAACAGCTAAAAGGTGAAAAATCATCCAAAACCATATCTTGCCTATGCTACTTACTTCTTCAATGATTGTAAATTAAAGTCTTTACATCATCAACTACATTTACATATATGTACATATTATAAATACAGACATAACTTCACAAATAGTCAATATACAAATGTTTTATTTTTATTAGGTATCACAATTAAAAAGGTAAGTACCATTCATCCTATTGGCAAGTATATGAATGTAAAACATCAAATCCCTACAACAATTGAACATTATTTACAGGGGTCTCAGACGTGGCATTTTATCACATAAATATTACAATATTTCATCCCTGCATTCCTTGTATATGTAGGTTTATATTATCAACATTAAACTATGGTATAATAATTTGCCTTAACCTTCAAGCATTTTTTTCTCTTTGCCTGAAGGAGAATTATGTTTTTGTGCTAAGGCCTTTTACAGGTAATATTGCTTTCTCAGCAGACATGAAGTATTTGCTACTGAAATGGATGTGGCAGTTCAATATAATCCAGTATTATCAGCAAGTAGTTTGCGTACCACTCCAATCTCATCATCAATCTTTTAGTGTGGTATCCTTTCTCTGGAATAATAAATCTTCCCTGTAATCGGCTTCTTTATAAGTACTGTCTCCTCAAAGATATCAAAATATGTCTGGTTCCAGAAAAGGAGATTGAGCACAAGTGGTTTGCAACAGTTCTTGGCTTTCCAGTCTTCACAGGATTAGAGTTTTTAAACAACTTTATAAATATTAAAAGCTGTGATAAAATATTTCCGAAGTGTTCACAGTGCAATATTTTATACCCTAGCCAAGCCTTTATCTATACACCTATCTATAAAATTAATTAAAAATCAGTATAAAAATAGAATGATTTGGAAGTTTACACACATACACACACCAACATTCCTCACCTATTTGTTGATTCTACATCAAATAGCCTATACAGTAGAATGCACAGGATTCCACAGGAACGGAAACCAATGATGTTCAGTTAAAAGTTAACCTTTTTTTAAAAAAATTACATTTTAAAAAATGTTTTGGTCATCAGGAAGGCCTACGTCATGTCAAAATCTTAAGAACTAGTGGAGAACATCAAGCAGCTATGATCTGTATTTGCACGATTTTTATTTCATTTTTTAACAAAAACTTGTTTAAATGTGATAAGATGAATTTAGCAGCAGTAATATAAAGATACACTCCCTTCACTTTTTTTCTGTTGCGTTTTTCTCTCAGAGATACTTTTACTAAACCTTTACTTCTTCCCTGCACAGTTCGGTATCCTCCTGTGGAATTTTGTCCACATCCTTAATATACTCTTCAGCCTACTGGGTAAAGGAATTTCTGAAATATTTCATTCTTGTCGTAGTACAGAAACATTTTCTTTAAACGTTCACTATGCTCTGTTTGTGGCTGATGCATCCGCAATATGACATAATAATCTGTTGTATTGCTATCAGTATTCCAAAATTATTTTAAAAACCTGTGTAGCGATAGCTGGACAATCTGATTAATGTCCATTAGATCTGGGCTACTTAAATAGTAAAATTAAACTGCTATACCAAATAAACTTCAATAGCGAAGTATAATTTTTGAACGTTAGACTTATTTTTTTAGTTTGGCCCTTATTCAATGAAAAGCACTTGACTAATAATATCTGCACTCAGTGACTTGTATTATGAGTAACTGAGACATTTCTGAATCATCAATTGTGCAGAGTACAGGTGGTCCTCAAGTTATGACCATAATTGAGCCCAAAATTTATGTTGCTAAGTGAGAAATTTGTCAAGTGAGTTTTGCCCCACTTTTTTTACTCACCACAGTTGTAAGTGAATCACTGCAGTTAAATTAGTAACATAATTGTTAAGTGAATCTAGTTTCCCCATTGACTGCTTGTCAGAATGTTGCAAAAGGTAATTACGTGACTCTAGGACACTGCAACCGTCATAAATGTGAGTTGTCAAGCATCTGAATGTAAATCACATCACCGTGGGGAAATTGCAATGGTCGTAAGTGTGAAACATGGTCATAAGTCACTTTTTAAAAACAAACTGGTGTAAGTCAATAACAGTATAACAGTAGCCAGATTGTTCACAGTGAGTGATATTTGGCAGCAGATGAAGAATTTCCACTGCAGTGGTAGTTGCTGCAATTCCCCATCTCACTTGAAAACGATATCCAACAATACATTTATTTTGTAGATTTCAGCAACTTGGAATTGCCTCCTCAAAATAGTGCAATTTTAACAACATATACACATATGCAGTGGTTCCACACACAGAAAACACTTAAAAAAGTAGTTGGCCATTATTTAATGCCCTGTCCCCTTTAGCTCAGTTTAATGAACTTCATCATGTATCTGCATTTCTATCTATATTATCTTGTGATGACAACAGAGACGGATAGGGTGTGACACATTTCACATTGACGTAGGTGGCATTCACATGGACATAATGTTCCCCAATAAAAGTGGAGAAGATCATAGATATATCTGAAACTAGCTCAGAAAAGGCTGGCCGTAGTTCAGGCTTTGGATGCCAACACTTGAGCATGACTTCATATCTGCAACAAAAAAAAAGCAGAAACGTAATTTTTAATCTATGACATTTAATAACATGATTTTACAAGGTTTCGAGAAGGTATTTTAGACTTTTCTTACAGTGGGTCAGGACAGTATTCAGGCTGCAAGAGCCTCCTTCCTTGGAGTAAATAAACGGTAATATCAAAAGAGCTGATATCAGGATACGGAGGGGCTCCTCTTGTCATCAGCTCCCACAGCAAAACACCAAAGGACCACTAACAAAAAGAACATAATAATCAAACCATAAGGCCGTGAAAGAAAGCCAGTACTAAATACTACATTATCAACAAGACAAGGCAAAAAAAAAAAAAAAGGTTCGATTGTTGCATTTTTCCAATTTAGGAAAATAGAAATAAGAGGCAAGTCTTAAGCCTTGGAGGGGTTGTAAGGCAGTCATTATATCCCTTTAAAATGCTTTTCCTGATTTTTTTTTTTTGGTCCTGTCTATCCTGGATGTGCTGTGCATAACCAGGTGAATACCTCAAGCTGATGAAACTTATACACTTCTAGCGTGCATCAACAAAATTGCCAGTCATCTTGTCCAATATTCTCTATTTTGACAGGTTTTCTTTACCTCACTGTATCTCCAGAACAAAATAAAATTTCAAGGGGAAAGGGGGTTTTCTAAGAATAAATCACAGCCTGTTGGAAAAATGTTATATGGAATTGATGAAGAAGAAAAAAAACCTAGTAAGCGGCACACACATGGGCCTATCAAACATACAGGTGGCTTAGAATGGGTTTTAAGTCTGAAGAAAAATGGAATTAATGAAAATGAACCAGGGAAGCAAAAAGTAGGGCCCACCAACATCTGTTTTGTGATAATCAGAGTTAAATGGCCATTTTGGAACACCTGGAAAACGTAACAGCAAAATAACCCTGCAGATACTTAACACTTACATTTCAATCCTTTAACACCGAAAGATAATGTCCCACCTATTCATTCCCAGATCCAGATCCAGCACACAGTGCTACATGATTCTGAATCTCTTGTAGGAAGTATGCTATTACTCTCAACTGGAGAAGAGTTATAAACCCATATATCCGTGATGGTGGCACACAGAGCCACTTCTGCCGGCACGCGAGGTCACCCGGAAGAGCTCCACTGCACATGTGCGCACACTACCCATCTGACAGTTGATTGTCAGGGATCTGTCGCACATGCGTGGGGGTGCACGGGAGACATGCACATGCACAGAGACGCATGGCGCGTATAGGGATCGTGCACGTATGCGCAGAGATGCGCAATGCCCATGGGGGGGTGCGTGCATATGTGCAGGGGCGTGAGGGGCCCCACACGCATTGCCTTTTGGGTGCTGGCATGTGAGCACGTGCGTGCAAGCATGCACGCAATTTTCAGCCCAAAAAGGTTAGCCACCACTGCCATATATTAAGGGACAATTTCAAAATCAGGTCAGCACCATCAAGCTTTTCATAGGAATAATTCAAACTTAGTATTTTAATATTGGAAACTTTCTTAGTTGTAGGTTTAAGATTCGGTCATCTGAAATATGGATATAAAAATAATAATACCCATTTACTTTTGCAAATTAAGAAACACAGGCTAGTTTTGGTTTAAGTTTTTTTTTCTCTTGCATTAATCTAATATATAATTCTTTTCCTTTGGTAATCTGTTGACATTTGATCAATCAGCAAGACCCATATAATAATAAATATATTACCACATCTGACTTTGTAGTGAATTTCTGGGTTTGCAAACTTTCTAAAGCCATCCATTTTACTGGCAATTTTGCTCCTGTTTTATTGTGTACACTGTAATACTCCTTATCATATACATCTCTTGCAAGTCCAAAATCAGCAACCTTGACTATGAAATTTTCATCCAGCCTACAAAAATAATAAACACACAAACATGAAATATTATTTGGAGCTAAGAAGACAGAATTTACATTTGTGGGGTCAGCTGACACTGTATGGTTAACATAAACAACGTTCTGTTTACAGTCATCCTTTCCTTCCTGAACGCAATGTTGCTTATGAACAACCAATTGTTTACTTACAGATATCCATGTTCTTCAAAAATAGGCTAAAAGAGGTTTTCAGAGAGAATACAGTTATAAATAAAGTCTAGTCTTCACCATTTTCTTTGGTTAGCTCTGATGACAAATCTTTAATAAATCTTGGTCACAAATATACGTGTCCCAAGACAATGTTGCAGGATCCAATATGGGTCAATCACCTATACCAGAGGTTTAGTTTTCCAAATTTTTGGGTTCATGCTGGAGCCCATCCTTAGGGAATTTCTCTCAAAGGAATGTGAGCTTTGGGTTATTCTATGCTAGTATTTACGTGGTGCCTGCTTGTGTGTGACTTTTTATTTGTTGCTCAGGGTATTGATGGCCGGCTATTACAGCCAACAATTTAATAGAAGCCATCAATACCTCAATTAATAAATAAAAAAACTACACACAATCAGGCACCACATAAATGCTGGCACAGAATAGCCAAAAGCACACATTATGTAGAGAGAGGTTTCCCAAGGATGGGCTTCAGAACAAAACCTCTGGTCCTGATGACCGACCTAGATTGAATTCTGCAAACCTTGTTCATTTTGGAGTGTTGGATTATGGTAGTTCCTAATCTGCTACCTTTATAAGATGGTTCTCTTTATTGTCTTATCTCCTATCTCTTTTTATATAGGAAGAATTAATCTGGAATAGCTTGATTGTGTTTGAAAGGACTTTAATATTCATATTAATTTTTTGCTGGATGCATGTTTCTCCTGTCAATGTACGATATCTCTGTTCTTGCCAGTCGTCCAACTCATTTTAGAGGGCGCACGATTTTAAATCTTTGTAAACTTTAAATGTTAAACTTTAGCATCTTCAATTATTACAGCTTCTTTGGACTTAGTTTTGGATCACTCCTTGGTCTTTTTTCTTCTTCTTTTACTTTGGACACCATTATAACTTCCATTTAGCAGGTAGTGCATGATATATGATTATCCTAATGTCGTTATGATTCATGTTGTACGTTTAGAAATATCTCCTCAGTTCTCAATGTTAGCTAATTTATCTTCCCCCAAGCTCTTTGTATGTGGTAAGTTTTACTGCTGTTGATTCTTAGCTGGCTTGTTTATTAGTGTGACCCAAATTGTTCTGGATCAGGGGCATGAGCCTAACCATGAAAGGGTGCCGTGGGCAAGGGCGTGTCCCAAATGCAGCCCTGAAGGAAAGAAGGAACGCTGGTTAAAAAGGCATTTGGGACACGCCCTTGCTCCAAAGTTAAACTTAGAGAGAATCATATTGGATTAATATCTTAACTGTATGTGGAAGCCATCTTTCTTTCAGACTATCATTTCTTTTGCTTGGGAAAGGAGGGGGGAAAGTGAGAGCAAAGAAACTTTGTAAAACTGCCAACTAGAGGCTTGAAAATGCTTTATTCCCTGTGACCAGACGAAGCTGAGAAAGCTGAGAAAGAAAGAACCGAGACTCCTTTTCAAGGACATTGCTATGAGATAAGATAGAGGGAAGAGCATGGGAGAGTGTTATTGCAGGTGCTCTTCTGGATTTCTATCAATAGCTGGAGCCTGGTGTTGAAGCTTACGAAAAGAAAAGGTGACAAGTCTCTGGAGAAGAGAGTTATAACAAGAGCCTTGGATAATTAAACCAAGTGCGGTGTGCTCTTTTTATTTTTTCTAAGTTGTGCTACCCCTCCTTACCAGTTTTATGGTATTTTTTCTTTCTTTTTAAATCTTTATTCTTGTAACAACTGAGCTTGCCTTTGTCTTTTTTTCTTTTCTTTTTTTGAAGTCCAATCTCTATGTTTGCTTTTTATTTTAAAGGGAAAGCCTTAAAAGCCTTTTCTCTTTTCCTTCTTGGCATTTTTTGTCTTTTTTTTTTAATCTACCCTTTTGGTTCATTTTTATGCATTTTTTTTATATTGAGACCCTTTAATTGGATTAAGGTATTGAAGAACCTGAAGATTTTTTTCTTTTCTTTTGTTTTTTTTTAAGTCTTTTTCTTTATTTAACTATTGATTGGATTAAGGTTTACAAGAACCTGAAGAAATTTTGTTTCCTCTTTATTATTATTATTATTATTGGGCTTTTTTCCTCTCTACCATTTTTATTTTTTACTCTGAATTATAATTGGCTATTTCACAATTGGATTAAGGTTTAGAAGAACCTGAAGATTTTGAATTGTTTAAAATGAGTAGGAAACTTACAGCTCCTGGATCCTCAACTTCTACTTCTGCCTCTCCACCATCTGGAGGACAACGTTCAATACAGACAGTGTTAAAGCAAGAAAAAGATCCTTTTTATTTTCTATTGTATTTTTCATTTCTTTGTCTTCAGGAAATGGTGGAGACTGAGGATTTATTGCTGTACGCTCTAGTTTCTTGTGCCTAGATTACTGCAGTGTTCTTCTTGTAGATGATCCCAATATTTCTTCTTGTCTAGGCAGTGCCATTTAGGCTGTTCTATACCTTCTCTTTATTCTCATTAGTATATAGGCTAATTACTGCCTTTATAGTGAGCCAGAGATCAATTTAAACTACTGCTGTTTGTGTTCAGAGCTGTTCAATCATCCTCCTCATTGGCCCATGGTATAGCTGCTCTTATTTCTCCCTGTAATCCTGTTTGCTCCTTACATTTCTCTCTCAAGCATTTCTTTTGAGTTTCTTGCTCTAAGTTTGTGGGTTCCAGGTTCTGAACTTGAAGCCCCGAAATCTAGAATTAATGTCCTTGTTTCCTTCATATCTGAAATTTTGATGGCCTTTCAAAAGGAGTCTTATTAATTTTTAGCTTTTAATTAAATTCTTTTACTTATGAATTGGTGTTATTCCACACTATTCAAATTACTGTAATCTTGGCAATTCCTAGATTTAATACTTACTTTGTTTTAATTATAGATAACATGCATGTTTAATTCTATTGGAGGACAATGTTTGACACAAGTATGCTATTGCATTTAATCTGTTTTAGTGGGTAATATGTACTGGCTACTGCAAACTAATATATTGGATAACATTTTGTAATTACTGTGTTTTTCTGATTTATCACACCTTGGATATTGTATGTAATTAGTATTTACTTATCAGTAATCAGAAACTGTTTTCTTTTTTCATTTTAATCTTTGTGATGTGGAGATGAATTATGAGTTGAAAAATAGTTGAGACTTGAGTTTATTCCTGATTCAAAAGAGAATGTAATAGAGAATGTTACCCACGAAGATGATAACATGGAATGGCTTAATCCTTCTCATGATATCCATCATTTTAGGATGAATGAATTTGTGCTGATAAAAAATACAGAGGATGGGTAAAGCAATATATCTGGAGAAGAAGCAGAATATAGATTCTTTAGATAGTAAAGTTTTGACATTGAAATCTTTATTGATTTATTTGCATGGGAAAAAAATAATCTACCCGGCCTTTGAATCTGGATAATCAGTGCCACATCTATGGAAGCACAAAGTAAATAAGGATGTTCAAGATAAAGAGATCCATGTATGGGATGTAATTTATAGAAAGGTTTTACAACTGTTGAACATTATTTAGACTGCTGAGCAAGATCATTCGATAGCAGTTTATGCAAATACATTTCTACATGAAATCTTCTTACTGTAATAAGAATACAAACTAGATCTCGTGAGCTCCTGTGTCTTTTCTGTACAGAAATCCACTCCAACTAAGGTGATATTTTAAAGTCTATAATGCTGGATGACTTCACCTAATTCTTTACAATATGGGTCTATAGAATATAATGCAAAGAATATAATGATTTTTCCAGATCTGCTGAAGAATGTTCAGAAGTGCAATTTATTTAGCAAACCTCATTTGACAACGAAACTTTTTTTTTTCATTTTTTATGGATCTAGAATAATTTAAAGTTAAGAAGTAACAGTTTTTTATTATTTACATATGGAACTGGACCAAGTCATGTTAATATTGTTACTTAAATATCTTTTTTTTCTATTTTCCTTTGTTTCTTTTAAAATGTCTAAGTTAAATGATTTTTCTTCTTCTTTTCATCTATAGAGAAACTCCTTTGGAGGCAGTTTTTTCTTGCTATTTGTTTCCTGGATTGTTGATCACATTATGTAGAAAAACAAGATATAATTTGACCAGGAAGGTTTTTTTTAATGGGTGACTAATGCTTTAATAATGACATTGCATTTATAAATCACTATGGTCTTACTAAATATCATCTAGAAGTTTGGCAAGAAATTTTTGAATAGTTTTTTAGTTTAGCTGTGAATCTAGTAATTAAGTCTGAAAATCTAATTAAATTTTAGGTTCTCAATCTGTACTATTCAAGCAAAATTTATTTTTCCTACCTGGAAAATGCCACAAATTTATATCCTAGTTTGCTTTATTGAATATGTGGTAATTTTTAAATCCGCCGTAGCAAGAATATTGTTTATTTACTATCTTTGTCCTTAATTGATGAGACAGATAAATGTAGTGTTAGTCCCCTGCAATAATATTGATAGCAATATTATGCTATCAATAATAAGAAAACTACCATCTTATTCAAGATAATGAATATATGCTTATTAAAGGATTTTTTAAATAAATAATAAGAATTTGAAAATCAAGTAAGACTACATCATCAACAAATTCAGTCGTTATGGGTATGCTTTTAAATCATATATTCATGGTCTTGCCTATGCTTCCTAGAAAAGTAAAATAAAAAATAAAATAAAAAATTAGACAATAAAATTATAGAACTCTTAAGTATAACTATATATGCAGGAGAATCTGTCCCAGAATCATATAAAGCTCTTATAGTGCATCATAAGACGAGAGAGGAGTAAATCTTCTGATATCCCCCTTGGGCATTTATATGTATTTGACAGATAAATATATGAAAATATGCTTAT